TTTTCCGGGGTGTGGTTTGCACCGGAATTTGCCAGAGTGACGGGTGGCCATGTGACCATGCGAGATGCAGTGCGGGATAGTGACACACTCAAAGTGCAAATGTGATCAACCGTCCAAGGAGTTTCAGAGCACCCCCGTTCCGTGCTGCTATAAACTTCTGGGGAACTATGATGGGTGAGGGTAGGTGTTACTCCGGGGAGGCCCTTTGTTTGTCCCCGAACCACGTAGGCACGGAGATTGGGTTTTGGTTACGGTTTGTTTGTCGTCTTGGGCTATCCTACTTCTCCGGCATGATAGAGCCGGCTTCATCTAGAGTGGCAAACAATTACAAATGCAAGAGAGCGTGACCTGGTGACGACATTGGAGGAGACGACATCGGAGGAGGCAGAGGCTGTGTTGGCGTGCGATATAGCACAATATAGAAAAGCCAAGGTGTTGAATGGGACGAACGTTTCGCTTGGTTGGGCGATATCGCAGTGTTCCCATTTCCCCGGAGAAGGCTATTGAATCGGCGCGGAGGGTGGGCAAACAGACGCGGGTTTCTGCGGCACAAGGAGGAGATAGGCAAGCAGCGGCATTCAGATTTTGGAGCTAAGGTGTGAGCAAGGAACCCGACAAACAACGTAGGAGGGGAGGTGTGCCGGAATCTGTACCGGATTTCGGGGACACCCAGGGGAATCTTCAGCCAGTTGGGGTTATTGAGCACGTGTGCGCATTCTTTGGCTTGCGATTGGAATCTGCAACAATCATGACGAGGCACGAATGAGGGGAGAGGCGGCTGTCTGCGTTGTCAGAGCTGGAGAACTAGCTTGGGAGCTAAGACGAGATGCACCCCTCGAGCTTCAGCTGGGCAGTGCCGAGGCATGACGCATAGATAGTGCTTGATGTTATCAGAGATGTGTTGACAAGATAAAATTATTCCTCCGGGATTGAGTTGCCTATCAATTGGGGAACGTGAATCGGGAGATGTCTGGGATGTCTGGGCCGGGCTGGTGATTGGTGAATGCCTGCCCATCAGATTCACGGAACCGTTGGGCGGTGGCATTGATCTGCTTCATCGCCCACCTCGTTTGGGCATTAAGGCTGGTCACAGGAACCATGGAGCGGTCTAGTACTGCTACCAGGGTATCGGGGGTCGATGCCAGAGCGATGAGGATGGCCTCCAAGTCAAAGGAGGGAGTGAGGCGCTGCGCCGGCCATGCAAGCCATCTTGCCCACCTCTATCTCCCGCGGCTGACGGAGCAGAGGCAGCAAATGCAGTGAGCCTGAAAGCACAGATCAGCCAAAAAGAAAAGTGACGGAGGCGGCCGCGGCACCACCAGCTGCCAGGCGACAATGAATGAAAGAGGTGCATGTGGGCCGAGCCACCCAACTCCAAACTGTCAGGGCCCTCACAAGATGGAGGGGTGAGATCGCTTAGCGTCTGATGTGCCTGCTCTTCGCCTACACGGGGCGGGTCACGGATTGGAATCCGATGCCAACAGACGGTCGATTGGAAAACTGACTGACTGCTTGCCGGCTGCTCTCACGCCTTAGCCGTGCACAGATGAACCACGGAGCTAATTCACTCCTAGATCAACAGAGGCAATTAGGGGAGAAACGTTACACATGGCATCACCCATCATCCTGACCTGGATCCATAGATCTAGTCACAAGACTGAGCAAGTATCCACTGCCGAGAGACGAACAGTTATACCTCCAAATTTGCGCGTCTTTACCTATCCTTTGCCCCGTGCAGGCTTCGATCGTATTAGAGTTCCCAGCCTGGATCAGTGGGTGCACAGAGGAGGAGGCATGCATCACCCATTGGATGCTTGGCCATCCGACGAGCCAGTCACCCTTGATCCCCGATCCCTGGCCATTTCGACATGCTGAGGGTTATGTTGTGTGCTGTTAGCGCTAGTAGCATTTCGAGCAGCTCGGACATCCAATCTGGTGGGTTCCTCCTTTGAGTCCACGCACATTACGTAGGGAGTGCATGGATGCTCCATGGAAGCCCGTGTGGAGGTGGAGAGTAGGGCACAGGGACGATCGCTCGTCGCCCATCATTCTCCGATTTGGGCTCGGGCGGGCGATGCACTCGTACGAGTCCCGGACTTGACGCCGGAGGAGACAGGGAGGTCCGCATCCTGCTCGCTTGGCAGCTCCGTAAAAAGAAACTGAGGCAGACCAAGACGAAATTCACGCATGGGCGCAGCGTATCCTAGATGAGGCCAACGCACACTAGCTGGGCCCATATCATGCCATGTACTTCATTGCACAACATGGTCATAGGATAATATGGCTCACGTACAGACCGTAGCGTGCCTGGTAGTCGTCAGCCAGGGCCAAAGGGCAACGGGCAACGGGCAACGGGCAGGACGCACGACTGGTAGCCGAAAGGGAAGGGAGAACAGACAGATCCCTTGCCTGCTTCCTGGCTTGCTCTGTTGCATGCATTGCATATTACTGCTCCGGCAGGGTAGTGTATTACTCTCACAAGCTTCGTCGACGAGACCTGAGGAGTCATGTTTGCCAGCCACTCAGACGGGGTAACCTGAGCAAGTCCGTACGTGTTGTGCTCTTATTCGTTTACGAGGTCGAGCCTAGCAAGGAGGCAGCCTCTGTTTGCGTTTGGCTCGAGACATGGTGATGGCCGCCATGGAGGTAGCTCGCCCAATCTGTCATTTCCAATCGTCTGTCGGTGACTGGCGCTTAGTACAGGCATGGCCAACAGTGGCTGCCTGGTTGTGATTTGTGGGAGAGTGCCTAGGCGCGCGTCCATCCGGGGGCCATGGTGTGGTGGAAATCATCAGTAGGGCTGCTGGGTGCCTCACCTACTTCCCATTTGCAGGTGCGTCCTTTAGGTACTCGGCTTATGGGTGGGATGCAAGTAATGCGAGCATATCAGTACATGCGCGGTACTTAGGACGAGGTGAGGCATCTCAGTGTCTGGAGAATGGGTGGGCTCTTTCTGGCCGTGCTCAGTGAAGCGGTGGGTGGCCTCGATGCCGGGTAACGGGAAGGTACCAACCGTAGGACTCGGTCGCCAGGGTAAGTGCGCAGAGTAATCCCCGATGGCAAGTGCAATGCAGAGGGCACAGAGCATGCCGCGGACGCGACTGCCACTGCTGCTGGGCAACTGGGTGTGGGTAAGAATGCGGTCTGCAGGCGCATCTGCATCGCTAGGGCTGCTACTGTGCACCTACCTGAGGGAGGCTGTCGATAATAATACACGAGATGGATTCGGGTATTATTAGAAGGCTAGACGAAAGTAATCGCGGTCTAGGCTTCTTCAACTCCCAGGCGAAGTGCACTACTACTAAGAATATGCCTTCGCTTCATCTGCCATGGTTACGTACCACCCACAATGCGTGTGTCTTGCAATTCCATTACCTTGGAAGTAGGTAGGCTCGAGGGTTCGTATCACCTACGTTAGGTTCCTAAATTTGCAAGCCCAATGTCCCTAATCCAACATCATCAATTAGCCACATGGAAATGAAACTCCAGCCAATCAGCGTAACCATGCCGGGCGAAATGAACCAGAGAAGCCTTCTGGAAGCGGGAGGGGACTGGGCTGGCGAGGCGTTCTCGCGGGGCATTTTCCCTCCCACGATTAAGGCCTCAACCACCACGAAAAAGGAGACAGCCTAGCGAGCCGATCGAGACTGCTGACCCTGGCTGCAGGTGGGAAAAGACTGCCACATCATTTGCCGGGGGCAATTGGATGTCATTTTCTCAGATTGGCCCGTGAGATATGGAGTCATGAATTGGTATTCGCATAGAAAAAGGGTAGTATCATGGCTTCAATTCCTTTTTCAGCTGAAGCCTACAAGGTAGCCACTCTGTAGCGCAGTGTGACTGACATGCTGTAAACCCAAACACTCGCAGTGAACTACAGCGAGTTGGAACTTGTCCATAAGAGCTTGCGAGCCTACCTTAGGTAACGGTAGGAACCACTAGACTCGCATCGTCATCCTGCATACACGCCTTCCCTCGGGCTGGCTAGACTCATTTCCCGCGATGCCTGTACCTACAGTAGGTGTCTGGCTGGACTGACCCCTGCTCCCACTGAGATTCCACTCACTTCGCAGGGTCCATCCGCTATAATCGCGCTCTTTGTTGCTGACCACCCATCATCTACGTGTTCTTGACCCTGGGCCATACCGCTGCTGAAGTCGACAATGGGCTGTAGAGATTGGGCTGGCCGAGAAGCCCAAAATCGCGGCACTCAAGACTGACGGACTCCCTCCGGGACGCTACAGTCCCCCGAAGGATTTAATGTGGAAATGGATCGCAGTCGCCATCCATGATTTCCACGGGCCATCCCAGTAGCTCAGCCACTAGAATCAACACCAGCTATAGTTATTAGCGGTCGCCATTGGCTCCTCACCTCCATGGTACTGAGTAAGTCGATAGGGTAGATTTAATCCTATAATTCGCGCGCTCGAGCCATGCGCCTATGCGAAATCAGACAGATGCTGTTTGCTGCCCTAGCCGTAGCATGCCCAAAAAGGAGTATCGCACATTTGGAGGAGCGCGCGACACAGCAGTGGGAGACACACAGGCACAGGCAGCCTCCCACCCACACAAAACACCACGGCGCATAACGGCTCCTGAGAGCAAGCGGTGGTCATGCGTCCTCGCCCATTGCCCACCCCTTCTTTTCCCTCAGAACCCTCCTCCTCCGGCTCCGGCTAATCGCTTCAACTCCCCCCTCCATGCTGATGTCGACATGCCTTACCATGTCACCCCCGTGGACATCATCACTCACTCGCATATGGCGCCCCACACGGAGCTCTCTCTGGCTTGTCTTTGTGCAACCAACCTGCTGGCCCATCGTGTTGCTCCCACTTCGGTCCCGGGGTCGAGGACTGACACTTCCGCAACAATTGAACTAAGAACTGCGCTAAGCCGTTTTCGTCAGTAAGTGTAAGTAGGCGGCTCGAACTCCGCCATTGTCTTTGTAGGTGCTCAACTCAAAAAAAGCGCGTTAAGTTTTCGGCCGCTGCGGCAGTGGCGGTCTTATAATTTTGAGAGGCAGGAATTCTAGTCATTTGAATTGTAGCTGATGACTCTTGAGGGTACCTTATGAAGCATTTGGTTCTGTCTTGGCGAAAGCTTGCAAGTTTGCAGTTCCATACTGTTGGGGAATTTTGTACCAATTGACTGGGCTGCTCAAAAAAGACCAAAGTGGTGGTTTGGTGTTATTGCTCTGCCCACCCCCTGATACGGCTGCTTGCTATCGTTGCTACGCTTGGCCATGTACTCCGTAGTCATGAATGAATTTCACAAACGACATTGCCACTCGTGTGAGAAGGGGTTCTTGTGTGCTCCGTGGACACGAAGCTCGACGAACAATTACCGTGTGGCCATGGTGGGTGGCTTGATGATTACCCATCTACCTAAGCACTGGCCGCTGTGTCGCACCCTACAGCACAGACCGATAACCACTACATACACACGCAAACTGCCAAGTAACCGCCCGTCGAAGCTTGGGATCTGGTATGCTCCGCCTCACCCAGCATCGACCACAAGATGATTACACAAGTCGGAGGGATTGGCCGATATCTTTGCAACTGTGTTTGTTTCCCCATTGTGAAGTGGCCACGGTTCTGAGCAGCGCAGGGGCTCTGCATGGATGGTATCGTGGGAGTACAAATCCCACCCCTCTGACGACGCCGCACCCAAGTACCGTACCGACCAAGTGTTGGAGTCACCAAAGTCCCTTCTGGTACGTCCCTTGGGTGGCTTGCTTCACGGCACCTGCCAGCCAACCTTGATGCGTCTGCCATGGCATGCGATGCTTGCTGCGGCCACACAATCGACTGGGCGCTTGGGGTGGCAGAGAGGGATCTTGTGGCCGCCTGCTACCTCCGGCGCATTGTCTCGCCAATTCGACGCGGACCCATCCATGGTTCTCCCTCACTGTCAGGGCGTCGGGTCCCTACATGGGAATCAAAATGCAGGAAACTTACCGGGCCCTACAGCGTAGTTTCCCTAGCCCGGGTCTAACCTCAGTCCAGCCAAGGCCAAGGCAGTCCAGGGGATCTAGCTGGCTCCCTTCCTCCTTTGACCTGCTGAGCGCACCTAATGCTCACAACACGTCCATCCCTCCATCTGTCGGTGGTCTCCGATGCAGACTTGGCTTGCGCCATCCGCCGGTACTTCCCCGTCCAAACAAGCGATGCTCCATGCTGGGATGTAGGTAGTAGGTATGAATCATAGCTCCGACCACTGCTAGCACACACACACAGCACGCACGCACGTAACACACCTCTTGCTCGCTCACTGCTCCACACCAACCAGGGGGGGCCAACCCCAAAGGGCTCCCTGGGAACCCTGTTGAAGATACACCCCCCGCTCCCAGTGCTACTGCAGCATCGATGGAAGTTTTCGAGAAAACATCAAGGTCTCAGATCAAGTCTAGCGTATCTAGTGGGCCCCTCTGGTCACATTGCCCCTGGTCCTTGTCTCTCGCCCGCTCCACATTTCAAGTTGGGACGGCAAGGCACAGGCCGCATGTAGTCATCCAGATGGCAACAGGAGAAGGCCATCCTCTATCTGCCGCCTCATTCCTCAATCTGCCACCGATGTGAGAGATCAGCCCTGCCTCCCACCCTGGCCAGATTGCTGTGATGTACATCGTGCACCGGTGCAGCCCGTCCTCCCCATCTCCACCCCTCCAACTCCCCAACCTGTAATGACACCCTGCTGCCATACTTTTTAAGAGCGAGAGCTTCCCTCCCCATACTTCTGGGCTAACCTCCACCGCTTTCTTTCTTTCTTGCTTCATCTTTGTTTATATAAAGAACCTGTGTCCTAGTTCGACTGTTTGTCAATTGACTTAAAGCTTATCCTCTCTTACCTCAACTTCCAACGGTGGTTTACTGAACCTTCCTCGCCGCTGGATGTCACGTCTCGTGGCACACTTGCTTGATAGGTCCTCCATCGTCGGCGGGCCTTCCTTTTACTACGCAATCACATACTTTATTGGCATTAAGTTTTGCTTGGTTGGTACTCTGAGGGAGCCGCCCTAACGTGGTTCTCGCACTCCCACGCATATAAATCGTCCTCGCTTCCAACCTCTGGGAATTTTCCTCCGCAACCACAACGATAACCGAGCATACTCTGCTCCCTCGTTACTATAAAGCACATTGCTAAGACAAATCTTCCTCGTCGCCGTATAGCGCATCATTAGACAACTCTTCCTCCTCGCATAACGCATCGTTAGCCAACTCTTCCTCGTCATCGCAAAAATGTCTTTCTCGTCATCACAATCATCATCTTTGAGCATGGGTCCCTGGGGTTGGGTTTTTGACGACCCTGTTATGGCTGGCTGGGATGAATCGCCCTATAGCATGCCTATCTCTTCACAACCCCTTGACGAGCTGTTCAACGTCTACTCCTCGGTGCCACTCTCGCGGGGCGTCTCGTCGGAGGGTAGCACCACCAACCCTCAATCCCTCCCAGCCTCACCCTTGAGCGCCAATTTCGATTCCGTTCAAAGCAGCCCCGTCTTCGGACCGTGCTTTGACCAGTCCCTGGGTCACTTCGACTTCGTCCCGGATCTCTCTCTCTCCCCTGGGTCGGCACCCGCATCTTTCCCGATGTATCCCCAGACACTCATGGAGATCCCAAGGACCGTGCCATATCGGCAGAGTCCTCCCACCTCTGGCATCCTCGCCCACTCCCGCTCCATCGCTCACAATGCTCGCCGAGCCCGCAGAGCTCGCCCGGCGACCAGACCCTCGGGGGGCTACGCCTGCCTATCGGCCGGTTGCGGCTCTGGGCCCTTCAATCGCTACGCTGACCTCGAGCGTCACTACCGCGACTGCCACTGTCCAGAGGAAGAGCGCGAGGCCTTCCCATGTGACTACAAGAAGTGCCCGCGCAACGTGGACCCATTCCGCCGTCGCGACCACTTCCGTGACCACCTCCGCGACTACCACAAGGAGGACATGGAGAAGCGTGGCGTCCCCGTCACCGACGAATGGCTCGACGGCCGCTACATCCCATCGGACTGGTGGCGCTGCATCAAGTGTCTCGAGCGCATCCACATCGAGCCGCATGGCTTCGAGTGCCCCAGCTGCAAAGTGCCCTGCCACGAGAAGCGACGCGAGAAGCGCCAGCGAGTGGCTTGATGCCATCATGCCATTCCAAGTATAAGCCGCCACGCAGCTAACTCACCACGTTTGCACCCGTCAAACCTAGTCGGGAAGCAATAGACTGGGGGTGGCAAAGTTCAATGGCTTAATGAATTTTTTTTAACGACCTTTAGTGACCATGACCTTGTTCAATTGTTTTGTGTACTTTATTTTCTGGATTGGTGGGCTGGCTTTGGAGTTTTGCACGTTGTGCTTTGATATAAACGACACCGGTCTGGAGCGCAGATAGATTTGTCTTTACATGATATCCTTATTGTTTTTATCAATTGCTTTGTTGTTTTTCTATCAATTCCTTGCTCTGTAGTCTCTATCAACTGACTTTATCTCTTAATACCCTGCTGCCAATTGAACTGTGACCCCCCAAGTGCCAAATGCGACCGCGACGTGCCTCCAACCAAGTGGCCTCCACTGCGACCTGCGACCTGCGACCTGCGACCTGCGACCTGCGCTGTTTTGCCGTCTGCCTAGAGTGACTTCATCTGCATCATTGTCTCGTCTCATGCTTATCCTCCTCCATTCCAGATGTGCGGCCTGCATGGCGCATCCCCGACCTCTGCTCATCCCCTCACACCCCGTCACCTCGTCCCGTCGCTCCGCCTGCTGATCCTCACCCCAAAACCATCAACCATCTTAGGCACCCAGATTTCTCCCCCCCCCCCTACCCCAAACTACCAGGTACCTGCCGCCCGTCTATACGTCCTACACGAGACCAAAAACCCCAATCGCGAGGGCCTTCCCCGAGACACATCACGGGTCCCAATTGACCATGAATTCACCAAATCGCCACGTACGTACCGCAATCCCCCAAGCCCCGCGTAAGATCTGCATGCCACCTTCTCCCCTCTGCCATTTCTCACCAGCCAACCACCCCCATCCCCATCCCCCTGCTTCCATTCTGCTTCTCTGCTTCTCTGCATCTGCCTATCTCGTCCAACCCCCCCTCACCTCACCCCTCCTGACCGCCTTCGAGGAAGGCAAGGGCCCCTGTCGGTGATAGCCCAGCCTTGTGCACCCTTCCCTCGTCTCACACTGGCGCTAGAAGGCTCGTGGAACAAAAAGAAGGCGCGGCAGAAGGATGCCTAGTGGGGCTTGGAGCCGGGGTATCGGGGGGGAGGGGCCAGGTGGGTGGTGAGATTGGAATTGAGACGACTCAAACATTAAGCTGTTGATTCTCGAGTTCTGCGAGCGGTATTGTTAAATTATTGGGTAGCAATAATATACCCTTCACAGACAATACGGTACATATTGCCGCTTTATTTCGTTTCTATGTCTACTGAGTTTCGCTACTCATTACAGAATGTAGTCGATTTGTAACCAAGTCTTCCACTAGGTGTCTCGTTTCTCCTGTCACCCACTTGGGGAGGGGGTTACGATGGGCCACTGGGACCGACCAGCTAGCTGCAGGGTGACTGAAAGTTGTCACCTGCAGGATGGGTGTCGGTCGGCTTCTTCTCGTCGCGGGCGCCAGCACGGATGCATACGCCCCCCCTTTATCACTTCTCTCCGTACCCCTGCCTCTTGGGCCTTCTTTCTGACTTTCTGGAAGGTTTTAGGCCGCAGCCAAGGTGGCCTGTATTACGACCCTCACGATTCCCCGTGTCTTGATCTAATCGAGCAGAGTCGATGATTGGGTGTTCTTGGATGGTGCCGACCCCTGTCAGCTGAAGTGGCAGTACCCCCCTGTCGTATCGTAAGGTAGTACTAGTCTCATGCACCGAATACTTCTAGAAGCGCCATGGAAGCTGAGGCATGTGGGGATCCTGTCCCTTAAGCCTTGTGAGTGCGTATCGGGCAGGGATGGACAGAGATGGTGGATTCGCTGCCCAAAGTCCTAGCGAGATATTCTGACATGATCAGCTGCTTTCTCTGCGGGTGTTGATTGGGTCTTTTTCATTGCTAGCCGATCCTCTATTTACATTTCCATTCGAGATTATGCCTGGCTTGGTTTCATTCGTACTACCGCACCCACACTATCGCACCCACACACCGCACAAGCTGCAACGTCATCCCACTTACAGCCCTAGTATGTATCCTTACAATGCTACTCCCTATGCCGTTCCTAGATGGCTAGTTACTAATAAGGACACGAAGCAGATTGTGTCCCTCGTGACTACATGTGCGTCATTCGTCAATTGGATCGTCAATTGGATCACCGTCGAAATTCGGCATCGCTCGAATGTCTGGCCTTTGTGCGTCCCTCTTCTTTTTGGGTCGTCCTCTGGTTCTCTTGAGTGGGGAATCCCTGGGCTTCGGGGTTGCATTTGTCTTGGAGGCGAGCCTGCCAATGAACGGCCTGGGATGATGGAACTTGAAGTCATCTTGCTCCGGATTCCCGGACAAAGGCCCCTCCTCATACAACTGTGGCTTGTCCTCAATCAGGCAATTCTCTAGAAGGTTGGAAGAAGAAGTCTCGTTCGACGACCATTCGAAGCCACCCGGATTGTCTGAGACACTCTTGCCAAATGATGTGATATCGGTGTCTCCATTCGGTGTCGACTGCACATATGCTGGGTGGCAAGATGACTGGTTATCAATCAGTTCCGTGGCAGTGTCTGTTTGTACTTCGCCCACAGTTGACTCTGTCAAGTCGCTGTCATTATCGAAAATGAACTTCTTCCAGATCTCCTCATCGTCTGCTTCCGTCAAATTGCCCGTTGCTTCTTCTAGCAGATCGACATAGCTCATCTGCGGAGCTTCCTCCACTCCTACAAAGTCATCAAAGGCCTGGAAAGCTGGCGCCACGAGCAGGTCGCAAACAGAAGGTAGCATCAAATCCTGGCTTGTTGCGTGGACCTCTGTCGGATTGACCGTGGATACCTTTTCGGTTCCGGCGCCAAGGTTGCCGTGTTGACTATCTTGTTCCCATTCGATCTGAGTCATACTGGCTTTCTTGTTCTCGCTCTCTTCGAATTCTTCCACAAGTGTCACAGGTGACTCAGGCTGAACCCGGGTGCTGTCGCGAGAAGACGATAAAACGGGACTAGCAGCTGTTTCCGATGAAGCTTTATCCTTGCTAGAGCAACGTTCAAGACGTGGAGAAGGCAACCGGTGCGAGGGGTCCTAGCCCTCGCTGATTCCCGGCGTGAGAGTTGATGAAATTTCGTATTCACCATCCAGGATGAAATTGTGACCAAATGAAAAATCATCCATACTGTGCAGCCAATTCCTCCACTCTTCTTCTTCGTCGGAATGCTGATACGGGACCGGCCCTCCCAATTCCACTATCATGCTCCCAGATTGCTGTGGTTCTGGGGATCTGAGATCGAACAATCGGGGTCGCTCGCCCCGCGAAGGTTGAGGATGGTGAAACTCAGCCGGAGTAGACTGAACTTTGTATTTCGGCTCCTCAGCTCCACAACAGCCATCCAAGGAATTATAGTTCATGTCCTGACCATGCAGAAATCCCGCATTGTAGCTAGCTCCCTGAACATGGCAGTACGGCTGAAGGATATTGGCTTGGACAGAAGGCGAAGTAGACATCCCAAATGAATCATGAGATGGGCTTGAAGGCACATGTACCGGTGTACACGGTCCAAACGACTCCCAATCTTGGAGGCTCGGGAGGAACTCGCTCGTCAAACTGGGGGTAATGAGCGAGTTGTTGTTGTTAGACCATTCCAAGTTGTGAGCGCCGATTCGAATCTTCATAGGATCATCTGCTTTGTATGCAGAAGCGTGGCCACGGTAGGCGCCCTTTCTTTGGTGGCTGAAGAGATTCTCCGGCCTTGGATGAGAAAAGTCCACAATCAGCGGCTTTTGGACCTCGATGCCAGTCCAGTCTCTCTTCTCAAGGAGCTTTCGACGCTTGGACTCGATATCTGGAGACAGAGCATTTGGCGAGAGGCTTTTGTTGATGGGGGAATCTCGCCCTCGTTTCCGGCCCATCTCGGAGAATGGCGATACAAACGTCTCGAGTGCCATTTTCCTGCACTCGTTTGATAGACGCTGGGTTCGTCTTCGAGATTTTTGTGCCGAAGTCTGAGAAATTGAGGTGATCTTGGAATTGGCTAGGGCAGATTTTGGTGTTTGTGGGATGTGATCTGGAACAAAACTGCGGTTCGTTCCCTCTGAGGTGTTGGTGAGAACGGATCGTTGACACTGGTGGGCGCGCGCTTTGGCAAAATATTGTTTCTGACGAGCGGCATCCTCGTTCCAGCCTCTTCGCCGTGAATGGCGTGCGAGAGCGCCTTCAGTCCAGTTCATGGTGGAATTCGAAAGTGAGGAAGAGCTGAGCAAAGTGAAGAAAGGTGGCGGGTTAAGCCGACTAGGAATCCCATTGATCCACCGGTATTCTCATTGTCAGTAGGTAGAGTGAATCCAAGCTGAGAGGCAGGTGGAAAGTATTGTTGAGAAAGGTCCAGTGATCTGAATCGAAGGTGACGGCTGAAGAAGATACGTATCGGGCCGTTGGCAAGTGGCAGGAGCGATGCACCGGGAAAGGCGCCTCGCTTTGGAAGTGAAGGGCCGACTCTGGCTCTACGCAAGAAACACGAAACAATGGGCAGCTGCTGCGATTGAAATGAGAAACATCAAATGAGTAATTGACAGGAAGGCGGTCGAGAGGGGAGAAGATTATTATTGAATTGGCATTCACTTGACACCTAGGCTAGACGTTAGGTTATACGCTATTGGCAAGGGAAATAACATGGCTGAAATCAATCAAGTGGAAACATCCTGCAATGCGGACATAAAGTACGGGCCAATGACGAGCTGTTGAAGTCAGCTAGATTGTGCATCATTGGCTTTTTCCATGTGAAAATCCCCAAGAAGATTGCGGTCGCGAGGCCGTGTTGAGGGGATTGGACCTTCCCGTCTGACCAAGTGGCGAGAGGATCATCTTGAATGTAACGCCTGATCCACCACATCATCCTGCAGGTTCGCTCCAGCCAAGCCTGCAGCCTGCCCTGCTTGCTTGATATAGCGTGAGGTAGGTGTCATTGGCAAGTATTTCAATGGGGATCATGCGAAGAGAACTGTGTCAGGTTAAGTCACCACGGACAATGCAAGCGGGTGTACGACATGAGGTAGGCAGGCTACAGGATGCGCATGCACGTAGTTTCATCGTCACAAGTAGACGAAAGCGTGCGTAAACATGCTAAGGCTTAATTCCTTGAGCGCCAAGGAGCGGAGAAATTGTCTCAATTCCTAGTCCTAACGAAATGTGATCATGGCACTATCTGCTAACTGATTCTTTCGTGAATCCGTATTTGTTCTCCCACCGACAAGGTGTCATGTGCAGTGGCCTTTGATTGGGTGACTCAGATACTCTGCCTCAGCTTGCGCAAGCGTATGCTGTGTCACTGATTTGGGTGAGTCGATCCTCCACCATACTTGAATTCGTGTTCCTTATCACTGGACAGAGAATAGAAGCGGAGGACTAGACATGGCTGCAGAAAATCCCGTGAGAGGGACCGACCACGCACCTAACCTGGTCCGTTGAAATGCAATTGTTCATCATTCCGCAACTGACGTGCAGTGAACAATGGAGAGAGTGAAGAGAATCAATCCGACATGGGAATAAAAGCCTGCAGCTTGGGTGACTGGGATCACGAACTTGCGGCTTTCTTAAAATGCCTATAAATGGTAAGGTACTTGAAGAATAGTACAGGACTAGATCCTTTCACAAGCGACCAGCTACAGTTCGTTAAACGCTAATTTCCCTGGTAGTAAGGCTGGTCCTGATATTTTTGCGGGATCAATTTCCGCTTCCGGTCTTAGCCTATTGATATATTCTAAGGAAGGTATTGGAGGTCGTAAGAGATAAGTAGGGAAGGTTTGAGATCATCTGCCCTGGCGATGAATGCTTTCCCTACACTTGTGGCTTGTATTTCACACTTTCAAGAGATGGACGACGTAGATTGAAATGCCTGGGAGTACTAATTTCGGGACATCCTAAAGTTTGTTCCTATACTAAGGTTATTGTAACGGTAGCCAAGCACGTAAAGACCCATCAAGCTGCTTTATTTTCAAGTATTACCCATTCCAAAAGCAAACCGAGAAAACCCACTGTAATTGACGAAGCTACCCTCATCTGGGCTGCATGGAACTTGGCTGGCAAACACATCCGCTTAGCTGATGGTGGAAGGATAGGAATTGCGAATTTCCCTGCTTTATGGCTGGCTTGAAGCTAGAAGAGCTTGGATTTCAAGCATGAGCTTTGCCGTTGAGAGTGTAGCTGGGCGCATCAGGTGGAGCTTGGGACTCTCACAGCCAATAATTGTGAGATGCTGATAGGAGGCACTGTTCGTGAGCGCAAAAGAAGGCCACGAAGTGCTTAGCATCAGGTTAGAAATCCCAACATGATTCCATGTTTTCAATGGAATAAAAAAAAAGCGTGTAGATGTCTCGCATGCTACATATTTGCACCTATCTTTTGTGGTTTGTCCTGCATTTGGCTGTGTTGTAGACGCTAAACATATCTCGTCTGGAGAGGCCACTTATCGCTTGGAATGACGCGCCGCACTGAACAGCTACCTGTCCCGATCTGCCTTATCTAATCCAGGCCTGGCATCGCCGTCACCTCTCAGTACACAACCCTCCGCCATTGTACACCACAGAACTCACGGCCACACACTCGATTGATCCGCAATTATTGACAATGGCGGACGCAGACGAGAAGGCGCGGAAGATTGCTGCCGCCAAGAAGCGCGTGAGCACCGCCAGCAGCGGCCCAAAGAACCCCCAGCATGCTGATTGATCCCAGGTCGAGCAAATGAAGAAGAAGAAGAAGAGCGAGACGGCCAAGAAGACCAAGGAGGAACCTTCCAAGGAGGAGGAGGACGTGCCACCGACCCCGGGCCCTGCACCTGAAGCTGAAGCTGCACCCGAGCCAGCTGCTGAGGAGGAGAAGCCACCCGTCGACGAGAAGCCCGAGGAGGATGACGCCGTTGACGAGAAGGCTGAAGAATCGTCTCCAGCGGGTACGCCTTCGCTCGCACAGCAGTCCAAGCTCCGATCGACCTCTTTCCGTGCCGGTGGCCCTGGCGTTGCATCACCGCCCGATGGGGATACTGCACCCGATATCTATCGAAAGCACGTTGCTAGGATAGAGGAGCTCGAGAAGGAGAACAAGCGTCTGGAGAAGGAGAGCGCGGACGCCGAGAAGAGATGGAAGAAGGCGGAAGAAGAGCTGGCTGACCTGCGCGAAGCTGAGGGAGACGATGTTCCTGTCTCTACCGGTGGTGATGATATCGAGAAGTTGGTATGTACTAGGCTTACATCTATAGGCAGAATTGGGAATATTGTTACTGACCCGAGATCTAGAAGAGCGATCTTGCCGCTCTGGAGCGCCAGAACACGCAGCTGCAGCAGCAGGTCTCGCGCACCTCTGGTCACGTCCGCCGTTCCTCCGTCTCGATCACCTCCCCAGCTGATCTCCAAGCCGAGCTGGACTCCAAGTCGTCCACCATCGAATCAATGGAAATTGAGATATCAAAACTCAAGGCTCGAGTCGAGCGACACGAGAGCGGCGCCACGTCTGAGAAGGAGCAGGTCACCGCCCTGGAGGAGAAGCTCGCCCGGGCCGAGGCGGCGGCTGGCAAGGCGCAGCGGGAGCTCCAGGACCTGAAGCGCAACCTTGACCGTACGGCGGAAAAGGCTGTTCGCGAAGGCAGCGAGAGGACCAGCGCTGAGACAAAGGTCAGGACTTTGGAGCAGGAGCTGCGGGAGGAGAAGGGCGCCAGGGAGGAGTTGGCGCTGAGGGCCGAAAGCCTCGAGATGAAAGTCAACACATTGACGACCCTCCACAAGGAGCAAGATACAAGGCTACAGGGGCTCAAGAAGGAGAAGGAGGCTGCAGAGAAGCTCGCCAAGGAGCTGAGAACCAAAGCGGAGAAGCTGGAGAACGAGAATGTCAAGCTACGGGTCCGCAAGTCCACAGACGGCGGCGGCGGCCTTGACGATGAGGGTGTGGATGAGCTTGAGAATGAGGACAGGGTCAGGCTGGAGAAGAAGATCCGAAGCCTCGAGAAGGAGAACCACGAGCTTCGCAGCGGTGCCTGGATCGAGAAGCGCCGCGAAATGGAAAGCACCGGCAATGGCTTCCAGGATGTCGACCTCTCCCTGAGCCCTCACATGGGCCAGCAGAGAAAGACCACTGGCGGTATCGGGGACTTCTTCACAAGTGGGCTCAATGCACTTGCCGGAACTGGAGGTGATGATGAATTCTTGGAGGACGACGACTTGGAATTCGATGAAGATGCGTTTAGAAAGGCACAAGAAGAAGAGAGCAAGAACCGTCTAGAGCGAATCAAGGAGATTAAGCGGGCGTTGAAGCACTGGGAGGGATGGAGGCTTGATATTGTGGATATCCGAAGAGGCGGACGTGAAGGTATTGGCGAGATTTTTGACGTCTAAGAGTGGTCAAATATCATGTCTACCACTGGTTTTGTAAACTATGTATTTCTTTATGGTTATTCATAAATACTGAGAAAAGGCGAGCAAATGAGGCCTTGGCATTCTCCGTTGTAATGGTGATTGCAATAGCGTCGTCATCTCCGCATTCTACGGGTTTATGTAGCTGTCTGGATCGGTAAATTATAAACTGATCACTTACATCATACCCCAAGACCTAGAGTGGGTATCACAAGCAAGAAAACTCAAACTACGATTACACATCACTCAGCACTGGCACTTTACATCCATCATGGCATCAGCAAGGCTCAACTTCCTCATCACGGGCGCTGGGAGAGGCATAGGACGGGGCCTCTCTCGCGAGCTGCTCAACCGCGGGCACAGGGTCTTCCTCGTCGACTCCAACGCCGACGAGCTGCACCACACAGTACAGCTCCTCACCAAGACGCACAATGTTCGCAGCGACTTCGACTCTCTGACGGGGGACGTGCGCGATCCCGAACACGTCCGGCTTGCGGCCTCGCGCGCGGAGGGGCTCTTCGAGGGCAAGCTTGACTGCCTGGTCAACAACGCGGCCTACACCGGCGGTGTTGGGGGCACGAAGCTGGAGGACATGACGGTGGAGGAGTGGAATAAAAGCCTGGAGACGAATCTGACGGGGCCGATGCTGTTCACACAGGCGTGCCTCTGGATGCTGGCCCAGGCGCGGGGTTGCGTGATCCACGTCTCGTCGACGAGGGCGCTGCAGAGCGAGCCGCACAACGAAGGGTACTCCACCACCAAGGCCGGCCTGCTCGGCATGGCGCAGAGCATGGCGGTCTCGCTGTCGGAGAATGGCATCAGGGTCAATAGCATCCTGCCCGGCTGGATTCACGTGGAGGACGAGTGCAAGGCTGCGGACGAGGAGGGGAGGAGGTGGGAGGACGGCATCTCGGAGCGGGATGCCCGGTGGCAGTTGACGGGCAGGGTGGGTAAGGTCGAGGACATGGTGAAGGCGGTTCTTTATCTTGCCGAGAACGACGGGGTGACAGGGGCCGAGCTGGTCGTCGACGGAGGAGTAACGAGGAAGATGGTGTATCCGGAGTAACGTGGTGCGAGGCGGCGGCAGTGTGGGATGATGCGTGGGCTGGTTGTGTGCTGAAGTCGGGCTATTACCGCCGGTTAATTATATATCCCCTCATTGCTCCCATGCCTCAGCCAGTCGCGGGTGTCCAGCTCCAAGACGGGAATCCTGTTTAAGCCCTGCACGAAATGCATGTTCCTGAAATGCGCGGTGTATGGCCAGCCATTCACAGGCTTTCAGTCAAGCAAGGAGAAACTCAATTGATTTACCCCAACCACTAGCTGAGACAGGGACACCGAGAGGAGCTCCTGGGATGACAGCAGGCCGCCTATATGCGTGTCTTAGGTCGGCTCCTCTCGGTAATACCGCTCGGCCGGTCGTGTTAATCTAGGACCGAGAACGGCGTTATGCATAACTGGGAATCAGTAATCAGGCGCTGGCAATGCGTAATTTAATGGTCGTAATCAACAATTAGCAGCCGCAGCAGGCGCTACGGACGCCTAGCCGTGGCCTAGCGCTGAGTGCCCTCCGATCGGTCGGTGAAGCCTTCCCAGTTCCTGCTTCCCCGCAGTGGCCACAAGACCCTGCGCTCATGCAACGTACTGAAGGCGCCTGGAGCAACGTGTAACCACAGGCTAGTACGAGACAGGACAAAGGAATCGCCATCCCGGGCCTGCACCCCTCGAAAAGCTGGAGTGATGCGCCCTGGTGTGGCAGCTCGCCTGCAGAATTGCTGTCCAGATGATCATTCGCACCTGTCCACGTCGCGGCAAGAGGCCGTCATCCAACTGCAGGGCAGGGAAAACGGCTTACACAACCACATCAAGTAACCTGACCCATCCGAGCAGCCTCCGCGCACAAGTGAGGAGGCGGCGGCAGACTAGTATAAAAGATCACCAACCAGCCTTTGCCCCCCACTTTGTTGGAGGAGCACAGCTCGTTCTCCGTTCGCAATTCCTGTCCCGATGGTCGGAGGTAATTGTTCTGGTCAGGGCGAGCGAAAAAACACGCCCATCTGCAGATTCAGTCCTGCTTGGAATCATCATTCCTCCCATCCCGAGTCCCAGGGCCATTGACTGATCACTCTGCCTGCTGCCGTCGTCGCATAGGCCGTTGCGGTTGAATTCTGTATCCTTATCCAGGTACGTACGAGCCTCCGAGCCTCTGCTGCTGGCCCGCATAAGGCTTCTCCCGGACAGACACACCAAGAAGGCGCTCCTTCTGCAGGCTGCTCCATATCCGCCCGTCCGCTCTCACTGGTGCCACAATCCGGCAATTCCAAGAGCTCTCACCCTCGGCTGTCCGTGGCCTACCCGCGGCGAACTTCCGAATCTTCCTCTAACGTCGCATCGTACCAATAGGCAGGCCACAGCGACCATTTATCACTGCTCTTCCTTTCCTCCTTCGTCATGTCTTCCCTCCTCCGAACTTCCCTTCGCCATCCAACTCCTTTCCTCCGTCCTCTCGCAGCATCTTTCGGCGCCACCCAGACCAGATCGCCCATCTACTTCCGCACTATGGCTACCCTTCAGAAAATCAAGGTTAAGAACCCTGTCGTCGAGCTTGATGGCGATGAGATGACCCGCGTCATCTGGCAGGTCATCAAGGACAAGTTCATCTTCCCCTACCTTGATGTTGATATTAAGTACTACGATCTCGGTCTTGAGTACCGCGACGAGACCAACGACCAGGTCACCATCGATGCCGCCGAGGCCATCAAGAAGTACTCTGTCGGCATCAAGTGCGCCACCATCACTCCCGATGAGGCCCGAGTTGAGGAGTTCAAGCTAAAGCAGAGTATGTGTTATATTTCCCCAAAAGCCATGGCGGGGCACCCACCCGCCTCTCTGGCTCTGCCCCTCCATCCCATTCCCCCCCCTCCACACAGAGGCTGCATAGCGCAAGCACCACTCCCACCACTGCAGATCGATCGGGTAATTTCGCACATCGATGGAACTCTCTGTTAACCAGACGCATGTGATTTTTAGTGTGGCTCTCCCCCAATGGTACTATCCGTAACGCCCTTGGTGGCACCGTTTTCCGCGAGCCCATTGTCATTCCCCGCATTCCCCGTTTAGTCCCTGGCTGGGAGAAGCCCATCATCATTGGCCGTCACGCCTTCGGTGACCAGTACCGCGCTAAGGACACCGTCATTCCTGGCCCTGGCAAGCTGTCCATGGTCTACACCCCCGAGGGTGGCGAGCCTCAGGAGATCGAGGTCTTCCAGTTCAAGAACGGCGGTGGTGTCGGTCAGACCCAGTACAACACCGATGAGTCCATCACCGGCTTTGCCCATGCCAGTTTCAAGCTCGCTCTCGACAAGGGCCTGCCCCTGTACATGAGCACCAAGAACACCATTCTCAAGAAGTACGATGGCCGCTTCAAGGACATCTTCCAGGAGATTTACGACACCCAGTACCAGAAGGAGTTCGAGGCCAAGAAGATCTGGTACGAGCACCGCCTTATCGACGACATGGTCGCCCAGATGATCAAGAGCTCCGGTGGTTACATCATGGCTCTCAAGAGTAAGTTTTCTGGCTCATTGTATTTTTTGTGAGTTCAAAGTCTAACAAATTGGTTCTAGACTATGACGGTGACGTCCAGTCCGACATCGTCGCCCAAGGCTTCGGCTCTCTCGGTCTCATGACCTCAGTCCTCATCACCCCCGATGGCAAGACCTTCGAGTCCGAGGCCGCCCACGGTACCGTCACCCGCCACTACCGTGAGCACCAGAAGGGCCGTGAGACCTCCACCAACCCCATTGCTTCCATCTTCGCCTGGACCCGTGGTCTCGTCCAGCGTGGCAAGCTCGACGACACCCCCGAGGTCGTTGCCTACGCTGAGGCTCTTGAGAAGGCCTGCATTGACACCGTCGATATTGACAACGTCATGACCAAGGATCTTGCCCTCGCCTGCGGCAAGAAGGAGAGGAGCGACTACGTCACCACAAACGAATACCTCGATGCTGTTGAGAGACGTCTCAAGAGCACCCTTAAGGAGAAGCTGTAAATGTCGACAACCATCTTAGAAAGGACAAGTATATAAATGATGATTTTTCGAGGACCATTGGTTTTTGGGTGAAGGCAAAAAAGGACACTTCACACATTTTTGCATTTTGCATATTGCTTCCATTCTAGATAGACACTCGCGCGCATCATCACATGCGATCCAGGCTTCTGTTTTCTGATGACATGCTTATGACAAGAAGCCGTAGCACCATTGATGATTTTGGATAGAGCGCAGGACACCTGGAAAGAAACAGAAAACCATGGTTAAACCAAGAAAAAAATACAAATAATGTCATTTCCGATGCATCACTGCCCATTGGCATGCACCTGTCATAATGTTTCACATACCTATAAGCACTAAGAATGGGGATATTACCAATCCCTGAATTGCTCAAATGTGGTTGGCTCAAAGGGACATGCCGTACGCTGTGATGAAGCTCTCGCGAGCGAATCAAAAGTGTGTTCCCGCTGTAGACTATAGCAACTATTTCCAGCACCTTCTTGATTAAACGCCTATATCGGAAATTCTGTCTCCGATTCTCATTTTTTTGGGGTTCCAACCCGTAACTTGAGGTTATTATATAGTACACGGTAGACAAAAAAAAAAAAAAAAAAAAAAGGAGGAAAATGAAATAGAAATACTGCCTTGTTGAACCTCCCATTGAGAAAACACCCGTAAAGATAAAAACCCGGAACCTTGCTGGGAGACTAGGAAGCCAGATCTGTAATCGCTGTCCTGCCCTCCTCTCCCCTTTGCCATGACCTAGCTGTTGGTTCAATCCGCCTCGGCGGACGCGGCCAGCGCCTCCCTGCTCTTGGACTTGCGGACGGTCGGCGTCCCCTCCGCGCCGCCCTCGCTCTTGCGCTTCTTCTTGGTCGGCCGGCTCGTGGTCCCCTTGGGACGGTAGCCCTGGTCGTCCTCGGTGACGCGCTTCCGCTTGCCGCCCTTGGCATTGATGGCGGGCGTGGATGTGTTCAACTCCCCGTCGTCGTCCATGCTCACGTCCACGTCGGCTGCTGCTGCGGCGGCGGCGGCGAGCGAG